AAATGGAGCAAAGAATTAACATTAAATTTGCTTCAAATTGGGCAAGACAGCTGCAAAAACCTACCAAATGTTAAAACAAGTTTACGGCGACGAAGCAGTATCCCGCTCAAGACCGTTTGAATGGTTTAAACGCTTTCGGGACAGACGTGAAAACGTCGAAGACGATCCACACACAGGTTGGCCGCAGTCCGTATGCACACTGGAAGCAATTGAAAAAGTCAGCAATATAGTGAAATGTGATCGTCGATTGACTACTCAAGTACTTGCCAATGAATTCAACACGGACAAAGAGACGGTTCAGCGAATTTTGACGCAAGACCTAGGCAAACGCAAGATTTGTTCCAGATTAGTTCCTCACCATTTAAGGGATGAACAAAAGCAATTGAGACTGGACGCATGTGGTGAACTTATCAACAAAGCTGATGCTGACCCTGCGTTCCTGGATAGGATAGTCATGGGAGACGAGTCTTGATATTACCAATATGACCCTGAAACCAAGCGTCAAAGCTCCGAATGGCGGTCTCTAAGTTCACCAAGGCAGAAAAATTTTCAATTTGAAAAGTCCAAAATCAAGGTCATGTTAATCACTTTCTTCGATTGCGATGAACTCATTCATCATGAATTTCTTCCTCCTAACATGACTATCAATGGACAGTTCTACACAGAAGTTCTTGACCGACTTTGAAAACAAATTCGTAGAGTGAGGCCTCATTTTCAACAAAATGGGAGTTGGCTGCTGCTACATGACAATGCCTGACCACACATTGCATTGCTTGTAAGGCGATTCTTAGCTCAGCATGGTGTCGTTGAAATGCAGCATCCACCATACTCTCCAAACCTAGCACCCGCAGACTTTTTCCTGTTTTCTAAGCTGAAAAATTCGCTGAAGGGAACAAGATTTCAGGTTGTCGAAGCCATCAAGAAAACTGTAACGTTACTATTAAAGAACATTCCAAAAGAGGACTTTGAAACTTCTTTCCGAAATTTGTACAGCCAAGCACAGACATGCATTACAGCTGATGGGAATTACTTTTCATTCATTTGAATCATATTAAATCCTTTTTTTTTTCTTCTGAGTTATTCCATGAGTTCTGGAAATTAATAGCCAGACATTGTATATAAACATATTAATGTGGACACCATGCCCAAATGGGCATTTCTTTAACATTTTCTGTGTTACCTTTATTTATTAAATATCATGTTCTTCACACTTAAACCATAAAATTCAATTCAACAGCAATATCGCAAAAAGAATTTTAAAACTAGCATATCTTTAGAATTTCCAATACACAGTCTGGCGCACTGGAGATAAAAATGTTCTACCCCCCGGTACAGTGTTGCCATCGCTCACTTTGAAATCATTGCGATTGTTACTCAAATAATTCATTAAAGTGCTACAAAAACTCTATAATAAAACAAATCCTAAATTAGGGCTTCCAGATGCCCATATTTGGTGGAGGATTACATTATTCAAAATTTGACGGCTCTAGGTTCTGCTGTTTTATCGCAATGCGAGAAACATACATACATTTATGCAGATTCTTCATTATTATTCATTCAAGGAGATTATATTTAGTGGCAACAATTTGAAAAATGACACGAACATTTAAACAACAACGCAAAATGCAAAAATGAAATTAATAGCCCTCCTGTGCTAATGCCCTTTGGGCTATAAAAAATTATTTTATATTATGCCAAAAGGGGCACTTTTTCTAACGTTTTAAATGTTATTTTTATTTACTAAATATTTTCTAACGTTTTGAGTGTTATTTTTATTTATTTAATATCATGTTCTTCGCACTTCAGCCATAAAATTCAATCCAGCAGCAATATCAAAAGATAATTTAAAAAGATATCTTAAGAATTTCCGATACAGTCTCATGCACTGGAGATAAAAATGTTTCCTCCCATTGCACACTTCGTAATCGTTGAGTTATTAAATTTTTATAAAAACTGAAACAGATAATAACACAAATTCTAAAATCAGGCCTTTAAATGACCATGTTTGATTGGACGACTACAATATTCAAAATTTGATGGCTCTAGGTACCATTGTTTTATCACAATGTGAGAAACATTCATGCAGATTCTTCATTATTTAGTTTTTTTAAATATAATACTTGGTGATAATATTTGGTGGCAACAGTCTGAAAAGCGAATCAGTGCAGAAAGTAAAACGATCCAATATGCCATTTTTAGACTAATAGCCCTTTGGGTTAATAATAATAACAAATAAAACACGAAATACCATTCAAAACAGTTTTAAAAAAACTTTTCGTCAATTAAAATTTCGACAGTTTCTGCTCAAAGACAAGCAATTTGGCCAGTAGCCAACAAGACATTTTCTGCACACAAAATTCAGAGTTAACTTTGGATCCGATACGGGGGGGGGGGGGGACAGTGAAGTTGGTGCACCGACTTAATTCACTATTCTACAAAGAATTTTGAATGTAAACAAATGGTGGCCTTGTTAGACGTAGCGACACTTAAACTTTTAAATTGTTGATAATTCTATAACTAACAGAGGCAGATTAACTAAAGTCACAAATCTTTAACCAGAACATAAAGAAAAACATAATACAATCACTTTTAAAGCAAAAAATACACAATTTACCAACATATAAGAATAAAAAACTGAGCTGGATAACAGAGTGGGTATATAAACAAGGTGAGCAAAGGTTCATTAAAACTTTAAATTTCATAAAAAACGAAAGAAATTATGATATTCAGCAGAATTATGCAAATTAATCTTGCAATAAAAGACCGTGATACATAAGGATTTCTCATTCACTTTCAGAATTACCCAAATACGCCGAAAGGAGTACAAGAATGGCCCCATATCGTGTTCTGGAATACTGAAGCTTGTCAAACAGTTTGAAGAAACTGGCTCTTTGGAGGATCGGTCATGAAGTGGTAGATCCTCGTTGGCGAAGGGCAGAATTACTGTGGTGGAAACCACTACAAATTATACAGCAGCAGAATCATCCACGGAGACTAGTCATTGCATGAGTGACAACTGGGAGACACACATACAGAGGAATCATTTGCTGAGTGGACTATGGAAAGAATTGAAAACCACCCTCAGTGGTTCTTCAACGTTTTCTGGATGGATGAGGCGCACTTCATACGACACGGGGATGTCAAACATCCAGAACACTCTTATATGGGTGACAGTGAATCCTCATGAATACACGACGAAGTTACTGCATTCAGCCAACTTGGAAATCTGGTATGACTGGTAGTTCTCATCATCTTTCATTGTCTGACCATTCTTTGAAGAATCGTGTCACATTCTGGCTGGAAAACATGCACAGTAAACACTAAGTGTTACCTCACTGTTTTGCATGCCCACACTAAATCAAAGAGGTGTGTCATCTGTCATAAGCTTTATGCAGGATGGAACACCGCCAATCCATTAAAACGATTCCTATTGAGTAACTTAAGTTAAGACACAGTGATCAGCATGCTGCATTCAGCTGAAACGGGCATTGTGTTTCACAATGTTCTGGAGGTCATGTTGAACAATTGTTATTGCAAAATTTGAATGGAGCATACCGTTGTCCTGTTTCCTGTGTTTCGGGTCATCAGCGGTCTCTGTTGGCGACGTTTTTAACTAAACAAATTTTTTTTGCACCTAAAAAAATTCGACTTCCTTGTGAGCACTTTCTCACAAACCACACTTCTTTATCATAATTTCGTCCTATTACTGGCTCACCCTGTATATATAAGTTCAGTGATTTCAATTGCAGCCCAAAACAGAGGTGCACAACTACATGTTATAGCAGTTCCATATACAAAATTTCAACATTCTAAGGTACTTGCTTTTTTAATTATGTGAGACCTCACGAAAAAATCTTTTGAATCCATTTTGGGAAAAACAATCCTTTATTCTGTTCATACATACAGATGTAACACAAAAACATCATTTAAAATTTTTTTGTATTTTTCCACTTTTTTAGTCTAATGATTTTTCATTTAGATCCAAAATCTGCTTACGTCCAAGGTATGCAGATTTTTGGTCTTTTACTTATAAATACAAAACATATGCAAGGATGATTAGATAACACTCATATAAAGCCACCTACAGAAACCGCTAGCAATTAAATGTAAGTGTAGCCTAATATTCATAAAAGATGTTCGAAAGATTTATAAAATAAATAACTCCACAGATTTCTAAATAAATAACTATTCAATATGAAAAAAAAAAAGCATTCTATAATTCTGTATGCTATAATTCTTAGAAGCCACAACTGGATATAAAAGAAATTTTTCATCCATTACTTTAAAAAATAAAAGCTCAACAGCTATCTGTTTTCTTGAACGTACTTTGGAAAATTACATTGCATAAAAAACAGCAAAGTTGCTCGCATATCTACCATTAATTCCACAATACAAAGGAAAATTAAACTACAACAAACAAAAATTGCCTGATAAATTGCTATTTTAACTAACAAAACAGTGATGCATGGATAAACACTTGTTTAAAACTCCTCATCTAGGCGATGAATGATTACAAAAGACATTAAGCAGAATTTTTATCTTGCTACTGCAATACCTACAAGTGTCTGCAGAGAGGGCAGAAGTCTAAATATAATGCCGAAAAAACATCATACAAGATGGATTTACATTAACTTTGGTACACCTGTTTCACTTTTTTAACAAATACAATTATCAAATTACATTAATTCTGCAACCTTGGAACACACATCTTTTGGAATACTATTTTAGATCTAAATCAAAAGCCACAATGATATCCAAAACAAGATAAATAAATATATAAAATTCTATTGGAAATGTAATAAAAAAATACTGAAAAGAAGGAAAGACTGTTTTGAATGATACAGCAATTAAAAATGCTAACTATTTTCTAAAGAGTGTACATATTGCTACAGCTTATCTATTAAAAATGAAGAGGATATTCATTTAAAAAAATGGCAGCTGTACACAAACAAGGAATTTACTGCCAAAATTTGTACTAAGGTTATTTAAAGAATACTTACTGAGTATTTACACCGTCCTTGGAGTAATTTGCGTGGTTCAACTTGAATCTCTTCGACTGAAAAAGAAAAAACATCATTAACATCACACCACATTTACTTTAAACTGTCAGTATCATGACAGTCAAAATTAAATCAAATTGAAGTGTTCTCGCCACAGTTGTATAAGCTATATTATCAATCAATAACTAAACCTTTATTATACATCCTTCTTCATTCAGTAAGATCATTCTTGCTATCACAGCAACTTTCGCTGCAAGTTCAAAAGAAAAAAAGAAAGAGCAAATTTAGCAACTCATAACTGAGATGGCATCAGTAGCCTAGCCTATCCACATCTTAGAGCTTCTGAAGAATGAAATTCAAACTTACTGTTGTATTTGGAATAGGTTTTCCGTTATATCTATGTAAAATCCTTTGAGCAATATCTTCGTCTGGAAACTCTAAGAAGCCGTAACATAAGGATCTAAAAAGAGGAAAAATATCCTTAATAATCAAAATATATTAAGTTTAATATTAATAATAAGGAACTTAAATTAGGCATATATAGTACAAAGTCCGAAATCTGGACTCATCGGGACTTCAGCGATTCCGGATTTAGGATTTTTCCGCATGTTAGATCATCAGTTTAAATCTAGTAAGATAGCATATAGAAATTATAAAGCTAAAAATATGAAATCGTAATTTACGAAATAATGAAGTATTTATGATTTAAAGGGTATCAAAATTTAAAAAAAAAGCTTAATATTTATTTGTTCACCTTAGTAAACATTTCTCTCAATGTAAGTTGTTTGAGTTGCTTTGTGTTTTGTGCTAATACTTCCTCTTTAATTCTGTAGACATAATCTCTTGTTCAGTTACATTGTTGAAATCTTGTAACTGCTGTTTCGAGAATTCCAACTTATTTGTCAATCGAAATTTTCTCATTTTCAGTAACTTCTCTGTCACTTTCTTCACTACCGGTAGCGGCATTTCCTGGATATAGAACTATACTACAGATTTTGCCATTCAATTATTGATTGATGATTGAGAAGCATTGTGATCACAATGAAAAACTTCTTTTGTATCATCCTCATTTATTACCACTTCTCCACATTTCTTTAAAAAATCTGTTAATTGGAAAAGCTTTTTCTGTTAAATTTTATCTTGCTTCTATCATGCACTGAGACAATTAAGCCTGAAATGTATTAGTTTAGTTATTTATTATATTTATGTCTATTTCTTGCACATGCTTAAGGCGTATCAGAGTTCTGATAAATAAATTCTCACATAAGGGCCAGCACTAGATATCTTTACCACCTGATGCAGTCTATGTAGGTCCTAAATTCTGCGACTCTGTGCGGCCATACGAGCCCTGGCGCTGGTTCTCGGTTTATGTGAATAACAAATCAGTTATTCTTAATTCAAATAGCCCTAAATGTAATCTTTGGGTCTACAACAGTATCTATTTTTAGCATATGGAAAGAAATTTTTGCTTTAATGCATTTAACTTAAATCTGTAATCATCGCCAAGGGTACTGTCAACATACAAGGTTACCATATTCCTTTATTATTCAATTACTAACATAAAAAAATTGTTTAGGCATTGCTACACGAGTCATTACTCAAGTTGTCAAGTTTTGATAAACATGTGGGAATTAAAAGAAAGTATAACGATTTGCCTGGTTGGCGTCAAATCAACGATTTATCTATGTGGAATGTTTCGGTTTGAGATATGTGGCAAGCAGAGATGCAACAACGGAGGCAAATTACTAATCGTACAAATTTATGCTAAAATGATTGTTTTCTTCAATAACAAGGTATTTCATTTAGTAAAGCAAAATTAAGAATTGAGACTCTCCAGATGTTTTATTATGCGTGGAGGGGGTATCAAATGCGCATGCGTAAAGCCAAGAAAAACGTTTGTGGTTTTGAGGTTCGATTTCGGACTTAGTACTATACTTGTAATTATCTTCTAATTTTTTAGCCCTGGATGTGAACATTTTTGAGTTCAGGAATTCAGGATATGAAATATGGATATATGATGATATAATACATGGATGGTACAGATGCTGTATAGACTATGAAAGAGACAGAAAGACATTTCCTGTAAACAATTAACTACATTTTGGAATATTAGTTGCTGGCTTATTTTTTCATCTCTTGAAACACTGTTTTCAGCCAAGTCATTTTTTATTGAAAAAAACCCATTCATGATCTAAGGTTTCACCAATTTAACTTTTTTAATTTCCAGAAGAAATGCCACATTTAAGGAACTTAGAAAATTATAGGAAATGAAACTATAAACTCAAAAATAAATTATACGTGAGAAATGTTGAAAATATACTTACCTTTTTGTGAAGGTACTTATATTTTTCCACTAAAAAATTCCATATACTTAGTACTCATACTATGTTATAAAAAATATTGCAGCAATGAGATACTAAATTGAACGACAGAAGAAAATTTGAAGTTTTACTTTAGCTAACAAAAATAATTACAGCAAACTGTAACTAAACAGCAAATCTGATTCTTTCCTATCTGAATTTAAAAAGATTTAGCAAGTTCTGATATAAATAGTTCAAGGTCCGCCAGATCGTCACATTCATCCCTTTGCTTTACAGTCTCTTTATCTGGGAATATAATTTTAGCTTTTTTGAATTCTGATATCATTGACGATATATTTATTTTCAATGATTTCTAAGCATTTCTTCATAAGATGTTCAATGCATTTTGCTGCTTTTGCTTAAGTGCGTAATCCTTCACTCCGGCAGCACTTCCCAACGCTTTCAGACTTCAGCTTTTAGAGATTTATTAAATTACAAATATAACAGTTGTAAGATTTTTGTCAATCTACCAGAAATTACTGCTATTTTTGACATCTGATATTCACATAACCAAGTAAATGAGAATGTAAGAAATCTTTTATCAACACCTTTTTCGGTTGGAAAACAGATCCCTTATGACATCGCCAAACTTTTTATAGCCCCCTCTTGATTGTTTCACACACCCATCCATTATCGTTTGCACAAATAATCTGTCATTAGAAAAATCTACCTTTGGAATAGTTTTCCTTTTAAAAATAATTACTGGGATTAGCTCGTGACCATCTGCGGCACAAACTTCACATAAATGAATGAAGTTCTTTCATGTAAATAAAAACGCAAATGAAATTAATTTTGTCATTAGTTTTTGCACCAGTTTCATCAACAGTTCTGTTTGCAGGAGAGTCGTTTCATCCATATTTATTATCTATAATTTTTTTCTTGTCGCTAATATCTGTCTTATATTTCAGAAAAGATACTTATTGCTCCTTTATCCACTTTGCAAAGTCGTTTTATACATCTGGCCTTCTTATTTTGGCTCGCTTTTATTGTGGTATATTTTCAAGTTTCTTTCGCCGTTCCCCAACGTCAAATGCATCACTCGTCCATTTCAAATACATAAGCTGCTGCTCCAATTCCAATTTGTTCAGGTGGCATTTTAAAAAAAAATTCTTCTTTCTTACTAAAAAACTTGTAGAGACATTAGGATTTTTGGAAGTCGGAGAGATGAAAAATTAGCAATCGCCTTCACTGGGAATCGAACCACGGACCTCTGAAATACCGGCTCAGTGTGCTGACCACTACACGACGAAAGCACGCTAGGAAGGCGGGAGAAATACCTCATATGTATATACCTTCAAATCTTCAGTAATGTGTTCAGTAGATGTACCAAGGAATGAACAGCACTTAAATAGGCACTCACCGAACAGGTATACAACAAGTGTAAACTGTATTACTAAAAATCTCTCAAGTATATAAATTTAAATCCACAGATATGTGTACGCATAAAATAAGTATCTAAATGGATAGATGCACATATCTCTGTAAACAGCATAATTAAGCAAGTGTTTATTTTTCAGTCCCAAGTAATGTGTACTAAGCATTCAGCAATGTGTTGAGTAATGTATAGTAATTATAATTAAGCAAATTTTCAAATCCTCAGTAATGTTTACTAAGCATTCAGCAGAGTGTTCAGTAATATGTGCCTCAATAATATGTGCCAAGTTATGGAACACTTAAATAATAATATGTATCTTAAATTATGAGTATCTAAACCACAAAGGCACGTTAAAAAAGTGGGAAAAATACCTTATAAACTATCCAATAAGTACTTATAGTAAAGTTGATGGGATCTGTAGCTGGTAGAATGCCAAGAAGAACTGATTAATGCTAAAGGGAGAGAAAGAACTACATCAGAGTTTGTTAATGCAATGTAGATGGAGTTGTGTCTCATTTGAAAGAACCAGTGTTTAGTGACTTATTTTACCACTCGGCCGCTGGAGGGGCCCAAATCAGAGTTGGGCATAAATAAATAGTAGATTTACAATGGAAAGGGGATGGGAAATGAGGAATCCTGGAAGATTCATTAAAGGACAGACACTGACACTATTCAAACTGATATGAATTCTAATTTAAATGAGGAAAGAATATACTCTCGTTTGGAGTCAATAAGGCACACAGATCCATTCAAGGGAAAGAATAAAAATATAATAAATTTTATAAAAAGCATATGTATGATTTTCTGTGAGAAGAGGCAGCACCACGGTAATCCAAGCTATTTACAACATATTAATGAATTTTTTTGTGTGTGCACACAAGGGCTGCATTGGTAGAAATACCACATCCACTGAATATTTAAGTCTCAACATATTTCAAACACTACATGCTGCGGCGTTTCTTCCAGAAATTACCGTCAAAACAAATACATAACTTTTACACAATTTACCAAAGTCATTCCAAAAATAATGAATTACATATAATTAATATATAAAAGATTGACCATGACATCTATATGACAACATAGTCAGCTTCAGCTTGACAAAAATAGTCACATTTTAAATGTTAGTTTTCATAACAAAAAATTTATTCATATATTAAAATTAAACATTAATCTTTTAACTTTCCAAGATTTTTTAAGTTGAATGATAATAAAACATTAAGAGCTTTTTTATTATTATTTCTGTTCCAAAATTACATTAAAAAAGCCAACAAAAATAATCAGTTTTGCAGCTTCAAAAATAAAAAGTTTTAGCACTTCTCTAAAAATGAAGGAGTATAGTATAATTTAATCTCTATAATTCAAAAAAGGGAGGAAAGGAAAAAATAACAATGTATTTATAACATACTCTGTATTTTTTCGAATGATTTTTACGCTGCAAAGAGGCTCATCTAATATCTTGAAAGTCTGAATCAAAAAATCTTCATCAATGTTTGAATCTAACTAAAAGTGAAATGAAAATTACACAAAGTTAAAAAGGTACAAAAAATTTATAAACTATAAGAATATTAACTTTATAATTCAAACCAATAGTTAAAGGAGATTAAAAAGAAAGCATGATCACATGTTAAACCATACATACAGAAGATTCAAAAAGTAATGCATACTGACTGCAGGAATTTTAACTTGACAATTTAACCAACATGACACATAATGTCCAGAATATTTATATAATGACTATGTCCTGCTTCACATGCATCTATACTGCATGCATACCAGAAAAATTAACTAGAAAATTTTTTGATGACCTCTGGCGAAAGCAATAAGGGTAGAAAAATTTTTAGCCGATCCTAAAAAAGCTAATCCCTCCTGTTTTCAGTTTCTTTAATATATATATATATATATATACATATATATATACACACATAAATACATAATTTATTTAATTTTTTTATTTCTTTCTTTTACTTGATGTATTTTGTTATTTTTATTTTACACATACAAATTGGTTTGGTTTAGGTAATTATGGCAAAGCCTTGAGGACTATCTGCCTAAGGGGAGGGATGCCTTCGTGGAGGACTTTCTAAGGGAAACCATGAAAATGGTCCATGCAGTCAGCCTGTTCGTAGGATTCAAACCTCGGATGGAACTACCAGTGTTTAGTGACTTATTTTACCACTCGGCCGCTGGAGGGGCCCAAATCAGAGTTGGGCATAAATAAATTACAATGTAATTGATTAATAATTGAATTACAATGTAATTGTAATTTGAAATCCTTCAATTATATTGCAGCTTTAATAGCAGTTGATTCAACTGCAACACAATTGCAATATAATTGTATCATAAATAATATAATTACATCATAATTGTAATTACATAATTTATAATTACAAACACAATAAAATTATAGCCACAGTTGTAATTATCCTATGTACACATTAACTAGAATTGCAATATAATTACAGTTAAATTTATTAGTCCTTGTGGTTTATTACACCTTGAGGGACACTCATTACATTTACTTTTAATATAAAATAGTGTCCTTGAAAAACAAAATCTGCAGACATGATCATGCCTCAGAAACTGACTGACCAGAGGAACAGAATAATCTAGAAGCACCTTTTGTGAAGTGCTGTCAGTTCACGAATATAAGATCTTAATTAAACTTCCATGTGCTGATGTTTTTCAGAATATATTCATTTAACAAAGCGCAAGATCTTTAAGCTATCTTTTATTGAATGAATAAAGTTCATGATTCATTGCAGTTACTTTTTAGTTAAAACTATATAATTGCATATTGGCATTTAGAATTACAATATAATAATAGCAAAAGAATTAAATATTTGGCTCAGCTTTGGAATAGTTCAGACTTACTTTTAATAGCGGCAGATTGATATGGGTTCAAATTCCAGCGAACAATATAGATGTTTGGGTATCTTCGTAGCCTTCCAAGAATACAAACTAGTTCTCTTAACAGTCCTCCACAAAGACATCCTTATTCTTATATGCTTTGCCATGCTCAATTAAAGAAGCAATCAACTCATATTTTTGCTTAACAAATGTACATGTATTTAATTTTATCTGAAACATTTTCTGTATGAACAATTCGCTTGCAGCAAAATTTACTTTAACTATTTATTGCAAGAATGTTTTGTATTAATCAGGATGGTCTCGGTTTAAAAAATAATGCCAAGACTTCTTAATAATATTACGCGAGTTCATGTCTACCTAAAGCTATGGAAGCTAGTTAAGGCCTAACATTATTAGTTCGACTCTGGTTTAAATCTTGGCAAATAAGCTGGTTTTGTAGGTATTTTCATTGTTTTCCCCCACTGTAATGAGAATACTAGCCAGTTTCCCACTGAAAGTCCTCCACAAAAGCATCTCTCTGTTTAAGCAGTTAGACTTTGTATGCTTTCCATACTTAAATAAATAAAAAAAAAAAAAAAAAAAAAAAAAAAAAAAAAAACCCTCACTTTCTGCCTGAACAATCATCTAGAAACACTTAAATTATGCATGTTTATTTTTACTTGAAGCTCTGGAAAACAGATTGCATAGGTTTAATCATTTGCAAGTAAATACTGCTTTTTAAATATTTACTGAAAAAATAATGAACTACTTCACAATAAATAATGTTACTAAAATTTTAGTACACAACAATAAAGCAGAATGATTATAGATCAGATCATTTTTCTACCAGGTAAGGCAGAAAAATGGAATTCAAATGGGAGGACAAAATGAAGTTTTTGTGATTTATTTACGCAGTATATTTAAAAAAGGGGGGAGAAAAAAAAAGAGACCAGTTCCCTTAACATATCCTCCACAAACCACAAAGGCACCTCTTTCCCTAAGTGTGCAGTCTTTGTTTGCTTAAGTATGAAATTCAAATCCACATATCTGTCAGTGAACATCATAAGCATGCCTATTTATTTAACAAAGTGCATTTAGTTCTATATGAAACAGCCAAAATTAGTTTCTGAAAATATATTCCATTTATATATTTACTGAAAATAAGTCCAGCATTTAACAAAGGATTAGTTAATAATTTACACTGTTATTGCAATTGCAAGCTGCAATAATGCAAAAATTAGGCAGGGCGATTCCAGATGGAACATACTAATAATTTTCTTACATGCGATTATTGCTTTGCAATGTTTAACAACTTATTATTCATAATGGTGAAACATTTCGGATACACTGTCACTTACTGCAATTTTCACTTATTATCACGATTCACTAGACTAGGTAATTGAAATTATAAGAGACAGTTACTTTCCTATGAAGGACGGCATTAGTTGATCTGAATGCCTATTTTAATGATGCAGCATAGACAGAATTAAGTATAAAAATATAATTTATTCCACACAGAAAAGTAATTTGCGCCAGGAACACTGTAGCAGCAAGAATCGGCTAATTGAGTGAGGGTCTGCAGCTGAGGAATATTTAGGATACATTTTACACAATCAGGAAGGGGTTCAATTTCTTTTCCTCTGTTAACTTTAAATCCTGGGATGCCTACGATAGATTGATCAAACTGACATTTTTTAAGATTTGTATGCAAACTATATTCCTGAAGTTTAGAAAATTGCAGTTTTAAACATCCTAAGTGCTCATGTCCACTATTAGAGGCCACAAGAAAATGATCAACAAATGCATAAACAAATTCCAAGTTACTAATAACCTCGGTACTTACGTATTATCGCAACCAGGTTGGCGCTATTTGTAAGTTTGAGTAAAAAAGTATGAATAGAAAGAAAATGTACATTTATTAATTACAGATAATTTTTAATACAGTTTTTTATATTACTTTGTTTTAAAATATAAAATAGCAATTAAACCCTTCCGTTTTCGAATTTGAATTGAATAAGTTGCAGAATTTTGAAAACCGTATTCGCCATAACCATGTACACGTCGACTTATTTTTACTTAAAAAAACATCCCAGAATTGCACAAAATGGCATTGCGCACACTCTTGACTTTAGCCATGAACACTGCTATTTTCTCATAAATTACAAAAATTTGCACAAAAATGCAGGAAAATTTTGTGAATCTCCACATGCTCTTTTAACAAAACTATGTATAACACGTAGGGTTGCCGTAAGTAGGGTCGCCAAATTTGGCATTTTATGTGAATTTTGGTCTGGTTGCGTTAATACGTAAGTACTATGACCTCATCAATAAACCGTTGAAAAGTTGAAGTATTATGAAGACCAAACTGCATTCTCAAACTTTCTAAGAGACCAGAGTACATATTAGTTGTTTTTTGTACATCATCTGGATGTGTGGGAATTTGGTAATATGCTTTGATGAGATCAATGTGCCTAAACATTTTAATTACATAACAAATTTTACTATAATAGGATAATAGGATACTTTTCTTTGACAGTGCATTAAGACAGCAATAGTCACCAACAGTCCATTCAGCAGACCCTGTGTTAGGCACCATGTGCAAAGCTACAGAATAAGGGACATTTGAAGGTCTCATATGGTCTCAATCGGACTCTTACTGAATAAATCAGGATATAAACTGAAGAAATTTTAAAAATCTGCACCTATGATTGATCATGTAACATTAAAGAGAAAGTAAAATTGCATCTTAAACCAAAACTGACAGATCACAAACATTAACGGATGTTCCATTGGCAGCAAGAAAAGTTCGGAGTACCACAGCCTTCAATTCAGATTTATTGGTGGCAATTAAACTGGTATCACTTTCTGAATCTATTAGAAAACACCTACCACTAGATCGGTCAATAATGAAAAGGCAGCGTGATATGTAAGGGTGGAAAGAGTCAGTTGCTCCTTCTCTTCCTTTACCAAGTTTCCTTAACAGGAATATGACAAATCACACTTTTTTGTGTTATCCTTGAACCAGTAGAACTCATTGTCACACGACTTGGAATATTAGCGGCCAGACAAATTGGTACGAGATGAATACCTCAAATGCTGAAGTTCGGAAACTTCTTTCCGAAAAGCTTTGATTTCCTCATGGAGTACAGTACTGGAGAAGGGTCATTATTAGAGATGATAGCAGAAAGGTTTCTGTTGTTTAAATTTGATTAACTACTTCTGCCGCTTAATCCAAAGTGACAGAAGACAAAGATGCTAATATAGTTTGGACAGGAACAAGCATCACTTTATTAAGCGGTTCAAATAAGAGCGAGTCACTGCATTTACGATTTTCTGCTCGATGCTTCATAATGCGGAAGAGTTCGCTGGCCTTCTGACCACCAAGGCCTTCACTTGCTAGCTGACGATGAATTTCTTGAGCCTTTATTTCAGAACATTTTTCTTTAATTTTTCATTTTAAATCCTGATATGGGATGACGCTATCAGTCTGAATGATGACACCACAAACAACAGTGGCAACAAATGAGCCACAACATAGCTGAATTTTGTCTTTTGTTATGATCAGTTTAGAAGTTGCTAATTCGACAAAGAGACCAGTCGATTTGAATAAACGGTGGAATCATCACAGCAAAAGTTTTGGAATCGGCCACTGT